TAAACATTTACCTTGCAGAGATGTGTGAGATACATAATTATGTATGTAAAGTGCCTGGTACAATCTCTGATACATAGTGTAGTGTTACTGAATGGTTACTATGGTTACCATTATTGTTAATCATCTTATAACTAATGAAGACACTGGCTGTTAGAAATCAATTCCTTTATGGAGACTGAACATGAATGAAAAACAACAGAGGTCTTTAAAAATGCCTCTGTCCACCTGACCATTTGGCTAGAGACTCAGAGTGCCCATCCTCACTTCATAAATGCAAAGTAGACTGTATAAAAATTCTCTAATTTATTCCTTCAAAATATTCATCAAATGAGGTAGGAGTTCTGGGGAAGGTTAAGAGCTAACATTTTTTATTGGACTATTTCCCATAAAATGTTATAGAGGATAGAAAGAGGGGAAGTGCAGAAGCTACCCGTGATCATAAATCTCCCCAAGACAGCACTAATTATAGTGGTGCCATTACAATGCTGCTACTCACGCATATGAGAATTTGTACCAAAATTCAATGTCTAGAAATTGGCAGCTGGATTTTTGTATGAGGCTGAAACTTGAAGGCTATGACAGAGGGAACACCAGTCTGTAGTTGCTATGGACTGAATGTGTTCCCTGAATTCCTGTGTTGAAATCCGAACCCCCACGTGATGGTATTTGTAGGTGGGGCCTCTGAGAGGTAATTAGGTCCTTAGCATGGAGCCCTCACAAATGGGATTGTGCTTTTATAAAATAGACCCCAGAGAGTTGCCTTCCTCACTTCTCCATGTGAAGACACAAAGAGAAAACTGCCACCTGAAACCCAGGACAGGGCTCTCACCAGAACCCAATATGCTGGCATCCTGATCCCAACTTCTAGCCTGCAGAACTGTGAGAAATTAATATCTATTGTTTATAAGCTACCTACTCTATGGTGTTTTGTTATAGTAGCCACCCAAGGTGATGAGGCAGGAGCTATGCCAAGAGAGCCTAGAAACCTATGAGCAGTTTCCCCACAAGTTCAAGGCTGAGGGATGAGCTTTATAAGCACAGGGTAAGATCACCTGAAGCTTTCCAGGTAGCAAGTGCCACAGGGTTGGGAGAAGAACAGAGTTTCTTGAGATCAGGTACTGCTGGGAAACATTAGAGTTGTGAATGCTATATTATGAAGCAATCTTTTTTTTTTTAACACTTTGTTAATACTCCTGGATTCCAGCTGATAGGCCAGAAAGTCTGCATGTTACCAGAAAGGACTATGTCCTACAGTAAGGCCTGCACTAGAGTTGCCTTAGCAACATCTATAACCAAGACTAACAAAACCTATAGGGGAGACAGAGTTTGGGGGCTGAGTCCTATCAAGTTAGAGGTGCTTTAAAAACATCTAGGGTTTTACACATATCTTTACTAACAAATGTCTCATTGTCTGCATATGTTTATGCAACCAGGGTCTTAAAATGCGTTCTTCAGAATATCCAGTATTCAATAATAAAATGACTAGACATACAAAGCAACAGGGAATGTGATCCATAGTGGTGAAAACATGAGGTTAGTAGAAACACAACTTGATAGGGCACAGATGTTGAATAGAGGATACAAAGACTTTAAAGCAGCTACTGTAAAGTGTTCAAGAATTAAAGGAAAATATATTCAAAGAGTAAAGGAAAATTGGTCCTAATGAGTAAGCAAATATGGAATCTCAGAAGACATGTGGAACTGAAAAAAAAAAAGGCCAAATAGAAATTTTGGAACTGATTAACACATTAACTCAAATGAAAAATTCACTGGATGAGCTTAATAGCAGATCAGGGGTGGTAGAAAAAGAGTCCAGTGCCTTGAAGACAGATCCATAGAAAATATACAAACAAAAGAGTCTGAGAAAAAAAGATTGAAGACAAAGGAAGAGAACATTGGAGACCTGTGGACAGGAATAAGCAAATGGTCTAATACATACTCTCATTTCATGAGGATGGTGGAATCCAGATTCCAAAACTGGGGAAGGACAGTGAAGAACAGAAAGTTACAGGTCCAATTATCTTATGAACATAGATGCGAAAACCTAAAGAAAATATTGGTTAACATAATACAGAAGCACATTTGAAAACAACGGTATGGGACTCAAGGACAGCAGATGGCACAGCAGCAGACACATCTATCAGTGTCATTCACTTCACAAATAGGCTAAAGTTTGTACGGCTCATATAATGTTCTCAGTAATCAGAAAAAGCATTTGACACTGTTTAGCACCTATTACTTTTGTATAAATTTATGTGGAACTAAACATATACGAAAGTAGTCATGATAGTGTAATGAACTCCAGCCTACGTGTCATCAAACTTCAAGAATTACATGGCTGACTTGTTTCATCCTCTTCCCATCTCTTCCGCCTCTCACCTCCACTGGAGTTTCTGAAGCAAATCCAAGACATCATATAATTCCACAAATATATCAATGTGTATGACCTTTTAAAATATAAGGGCTCTAATTTTAAAGAACAAGACCCCAATACCATTTCTATTTCCAAAAATATTTTAATGAAAGTTCCTTAAGATTATCATATGTCCAGTCAGCATTTGAATTTCCCCTATGGTCTCAAATACTTTATATTAGGTTACATCTGTTTAGACTTTTTTTTAATACATAGGGTCTCCCTTCTTGTGTTTTTTTCTTTGCATTTATGTATTGAAAAAATCACATTGCCTTTCTTTTGCTGCTTGCATCACCATAGTTTTGTTTACAGCAGGTTAGTCTAGTTTGAATATTGGATTCCAGCACATTGGTGATGGATTTGGATCCTTGGCCAGATTTAACTTTGACTTTTGGAATGAAAGGTGGTGTTGTGTACTCCTAACTGCCTTACGTCACAAGGGACACAATGTCTTTTTGTCTCTCTTTTTGTGATGTTAAGACTGATCAATGTGTTTGAGTGTTATCAGGCTGACCTACCTATTATTAAAATTCCTCATCAGCTTTTCACTGATGGTTTTAGCAGCCACATATGTTCTAATTCTTCATTCCTGTTCATTTATACCTGAAAGTTTTCTGTAAAAAAAAACTCATCAACTCTTTGGTTACCCAGAGGTATAGTTCAAACAAGAAGTTCAGGGTAAATGCTGGATTCTTCATTTTCACTTGTAAGTTTTCAGAATAAGTTGGTTCTTAAATCATCCACAGCTGACTATTGCTTTATTGCCCCTTGAGTTAACAACTCATGGATTTTTAACATATTTGATTTGTTTTAGTGCAACATATTATCATTCTTTTTGGTACCTGTGATAGGTGTAATGACCCCCCAAAGATATTCATATCCTAATCCCTGATTCTGTGAATATGTTGTCTCAAGTGGCAAAGAGAGAATGAAGGGTACAGATGGAATTTTTGTCGCTAATCAGCTGACCTTCAGAAAAGGAGATTGCCTTGTAGACCCAATGTAATCACAAGCATCCTTAATAATGGAAGAGGGAGGTAGGAGAGTAGGTCAGAGTGATGCAATGTGAGAAAAACTCGATAAGCCACTGTTGGCTTTGAAGATTGAAGAAGGGGACCATGAGCCAAGGAATGCTAGTGGCCTCTGGAAAAGGCAAGGAAATGGATCCTCCCCTAGAGTCTCAAGAAAGGAACCCAGATGATCCCTTGATTTTAGCCCAACAAGACCTGAGTTGAACTTCTGACCTACAGAACTGTAAGATAATAAGTTTGTGTTGTTTTAAGCCTCCAAGTTTTTGGTAATTTTTTATGGCAGCCATGGAAACCCAACACAGTGCTTATCATCTCTATGAGAAAAATATCAGCAGAAACACTGGGACAAACAAAGAAACTATTCCAATCATAAAGAATAGTTTTAATTAGTTTTAATTTTATTTGCCAGCTAAAACTATAAAAATAATTTTTTCCTAGAGTTGCAATAACAAACCAGTAAAGATACTAAAAAATAAGAAACTATTAAAGAAAAAACTATAATTAAATACCTAGGAATTAAGCAGAACCTTTAGGCAGGAAACTTGAAACTGCTAGTAAAGAGCATAGAAGATGCACTAATAAGTGGACAAATGTTTTATGTTCTTGGATAAGATGATGTAATATTTCTAAGATGTCAATTCTCCAAATTAGTCTATAAATTTAATATAGTCTATAAATTTAATGCATCATAATAAAAATTCCATTTGGACTGTTTGAGGAAACTGATGAAGTTACTCTAAAAATAAAATGAAGCAATAAAGGATATCACAAATAGCTACATCAATCTCGTTTTAAAGAGACTCGCCAAACAGGATATTAAGAAGTTATAGTAATAGAGCAGTGTGATAATGTTGCAAGAATGACAAATACAACACTGGAAGAGAAAGAGAATAGAGAGCTTGAAGACAGAACTTTAGGTAGTTACTATATGACACGTGTGGTGCCACAAGTCAATAAGGGGAAGTATAGAAAGTTTAAAAGATATTGTTGGGAAATTTGGTTCACTCTCTAGAGGAAAAACAAACAAAACAGAATCCCAGATTCCTATCTAACATCATCTACAAAGATTGAGTTTTGACGGATTAAACACCAAAATGTGAAAGGTAAAACTATGATTATGCCTTTGACTTGGGCAAGTCTCCTCTAATCCTCAGTTTCCTCTGGCTGTCATTGTAAGCTGTGTAAGTGAAAGTCCAATGAGAACTAATAATAATTACTCTTTAACAGTTGGGGAAATTTAAGCCGCAGAGGGATGCCACTAGCCTAATGTATCATTTCCACGTTGGAACTCAGGGTTCCTGAGTCCGGCTGTCTACTTGTGCACTGTTCCATTACACAGTTATTTTTCCCTTTGTCTGCCTTTGAGCCCATAGTTTGATGTCACAGAACTGCCCCGACCTTACCCCACCTCTTAGGAGGCCCCGCCTCCTCACGCGGCTCCGCCCCCGACCAGCATTAGCCAAGCCCCGCCCTCAGCCCACGCCCAAGCGCGGCTCCAGTGCGTCCCGCCCCATCTCTCTTCCGGCCCCGCCCTCCTGGATGCCATGGCAACGAGTCCGCGCCCCGCGCACTGCTGCTTCTCGGGCCGGACCCAGGCTGGACCGCGGGCCCCGGCCTGGGGGCCACAGCTGCCACCGCAGCCGCCACCTCGTCTCCTCCCCGTCCCCGCTCCGCCGCGCGTCTCCTCGCCTCACTCGGGCCCACGGCCGGGGTCCCTCCCCGCCGCCACACCCCGCGCGGATGCCGAAGGTGAAGGCTCTGCAATGCGCCCTAGCGCTGGAGATCCGCTCTGTGAGTAGAGGTCACGCCCCCAGCCCCAGTATCCTGGTGTCAGTGAGTCCCCGGACTTTACTCGGGACGCTTCTTCTGTTTAACTCAGAGAGCCCTCCCAACATCCTTCACCCTCCGAATCATCATTAGGTAACCTAGACCCATTGTCACCTCGGTCATCCCCGCCTCAGACGCTTGAGGTCCCTCCCACTCCTGCCACACCGAGGCCTGAGCCCCACCTCAGCTCTCCCGGCTTCATCCCAACTTGCGGTTCCTTCTAATCTTTCCCAAACCGCTTCAAAGATCCTCTCCCCGCCCCCAACTTTCCTGGGAGTTATTTTGGGAGGCGGACTTCTCTTTAAGTTCCTCTTTTCTGCTCCTTTTAGAGTATTATTGGCCCGCTTCGCTCCATTCTGGGGAGCCCGCGACGGGGGAGGGGGGCTGGTAGGATAGGGAGCATTTATTTCTTCCCAAATCACTGCAGGCAGACTGTAAAATTTCTAACCTTCTGACTGGTGACCTTTTACTCTCAGTGTAAAAAGTCGAACTCCCACACCCAGCCACAGAAGCATGTCATTTTACAAAGCACCTTGCCATCACCCTCTCCCCTCCTGGCGCCAGCCCCTCAGAAATAATTTTAGGTCCCTCCAACCCTCCAACGCCCCGACAATGAGAGGTGCCCCTAATCCTTCCGGTTACCCTAAGAAAGGCACCAGCTTTTAAAGAGAAACTGCTCATTCTCTGAACTCCTCCTGGAGGACCTGCGACCCCATCCAGGCTTTCCGGACATGCTGAACAGGCTCCTTTCCCTAACCTGCTGTACAAATCCAGCGCAAGCAGAGGGGACTTGGATTTCTCCATGCTACGAGAAAACTTCCTTCCCCTTAATTCTTTAGAGAACCCCCTCATTCTCTTCAGATGAGCCTCCAGCTTCTCTTCTAGAAGAAATCTCCAAAAAGATTTTCCTATATCCCCATTTTAGATCTGCAAGCAGTTTGGAACCAAAATTTTTCCTTCCGTCCCTTTTCTCTGCCCCCACCTCTCTCTAAATCGTCTTATCTTTCAACTCAGTCTTTGCTCTCTCATCAAACCTGGGGGTTGAGGGTGGTGAGGGTACTTAAATGTGCAACATTACTCGGCTGAGTGCTGCACCAAGCAGCCGTCTCACTTCCTGCACACCCTGCAGCAAAGTTTCTCTTTCCACTTAACCCCACCCTGGCAGCGTCCCCCCTTCCCTGGTTGTCCCTCCTCACTTTAGAATGAGGCTGCTGTAGCCCAGTCCGGGAAACCTCCAGGGAAGTCACAAGACTATTTTAGGTCTTTTGTTAAGTCTTAAAGAAGGAAGGCTGGCTAGGGGAGAGTGTGAAGCAGCTGTGGAGGAGATCCAAGTTTGTCTTTAAGCCAGCAGAGATTTTTCTCTCTGCTCTGTTGGAAACGATATCCCTGGCTTCAGATGTTTTCCTTCCACAGTTGGCAAATTATTGGGAATGTAAGATTAGTTCAGCAAAAGAATACATGAAGCCTCCTAAACCGCTCCTTCTTGGCAGTTAGTAAAAATCAACAGACTTGGTTACTGGCTGCTGCTTTGTCCCAGCTAACCAATGGGGTTTTGCAGCCTGCTGAGTGCAGCCGCCTGACAGGCCGCAGCTGCTTCCCTTCCTTTGCCCATACAGACTTTCTAAGAGGAAGTGCTCTGCTGTGCTGTACCTGGTGACTGCCTAAAGTAGTCTGAGAAACACATTTTATTTCAATCTTCTTTCTTCTCAGTATTAGCTGCACTACAGAAAGTGAATGGCGGTAAAGTGGAGTTTTGCTGTTCATGGAGGCTTTAGAAATTATGCAGGTGGAAACGTTCTTGTTTACATTTTTTTTTCACCAAACGTTTGAGCCACAGAATTTTACATTTTTAAGAAATCTTAGCTATCATTGTATTTATTTGTTTTTACAGGTGAGAAAATCATTGAAGTGTAGCATGACTATTCTAGGGTTGCACAACCATTAAGGGGCACGTCTGCAACAAGACATTAAGTTTCCTAACTAGCACAAGCCCTGTCAAATGGCTCTGATGGTCAGAAGTAGCAAAAAAGACCATTAATAACTATAAAAGTTTAACAAGTTTTGTTAATTTGGCTTTGATTGAATAGCAGAATTGGATGACCATAGATATTAACATCGTCTTTTCAATTTAGATTTTTCTTCTCAATTTAATTTTTTGCATTTATATGGCATAAAAGTTAAAACTATATAAAATGATATATTCAGAGAAATCTCAATTCTGGCCCTGTTCAAACCTATTTCCCATGTGTACTCATCTGCTATTGGTAACTTTTTATTCATTTTTTTATTTACTTTTCTAGTATTTTCTTTTGTAATATAACCAACTAGGTATACATACATGTACAATAAACTCTTCCATATTCTTTTTACTTTCGCTTCTTGAACAATTGATAGTATATTATATACTATCTGCTGTTCTGCACTTTGCTTTTTTTCATTTAATATACCCAGAGGATCATTCTGTATCTGCAAAAGATGGTTCTTTCTTTTCCCTCAACTTTTTATTGACATTTTTAAAAATATTGAGTAGTTGGAAGGATACTACAATTAATTTAATTTACTTGTACATGTGTATATGCCTATATATAAAATACATGTTTTTTGTTGAAATATTTCAAGTAAATTATTGATACCATGATATTCCACTCCTAAATACTTAAGTATACACCGTCTAAAAATAAAAACCATATTTCTACATAACCACAAAAACCATTATCACACAACTCAGAACTTAGTGATAATTTCTTAATATCTAGTCCATATTCAAGTTTCCCAGTTGTCTCAAAAATGAATTGTGTAGTTAACTTTTTCAAACCTAGATCCAATCAAAGTTTATATGTTGCATTTCCTTTTCAGGTCTTTTTAGTCCATTTTAATATACAGCAGTTATACTTTTTCATTCCCATGACATTTCCTTTCTTCCCCTCAATGAATTTAGATAAATTCATACACATATGTAACCATTACTTGGATCAAGATTCAGAACACATCCATTACCCCAGGAAGTTCCCTTGTGCCCCTCTAAACCCCATGCAGAGGGAGCTACTATTCTGATTTGTCATTGTAGTTTGCTAGTACTTGAACTTCGTATTAAATAGAGCCATGTAGTGTGTCATATTTTGTGTTGACTTCTTTTGGCCAGCGTATATTTGAGATTCATCCTTGTTTGTTACTGTATTTATCAGTGGTTCCTTTAGATTGTGGAGTAGAATTCTATTATATACGCATACCATATTTATCCATTCTCTTTATTGAGATTATGTGGATTGTTACCAGGTTGTGGTTGCCATGGATAAAGCTATTATAAACATCCGTTCATACAAAAGTCTTTTTGTATACATTACCTTTTAAAGAGATGGGGTTCAGATATAGAATATCTCCTGTTGTGTTGTTTGAATTTTTTGTAGTGACATTTAATTTATTCTCCAAATAAACTAGAAGTTAGATGTTTTATCTCTGCTTGCCTATTGAAAGTATGGCACTCTGTTTTTCTCTCCCCTTGTCCCCCTCCATGTTTATTTTGCTACAGTCTTGTATTAGTGGTAATCTCAACATTTTGTGTTGCTCAGCAGATCCATATGACTTGAGAGAAATTATCAATATATTTTCTCAGATGTTTGCTAGGAAGAAAGTGTGACTTTTCTCAATGAGTCTTTGGAGAAAGATATGATTGATATACCAAGTAGCTGGTTTTTAAAGAGCAGCAAAAGAATTGTATTTCCCGTTCCTTAACATATTTAATATTTGAAACATCTGTGATATGAAAAAGTATTTTTATTGCTTCTCTCTCTCTTTTTATTATTCACTAGTTCAGTTTTCATGATGTTATTTGAGAATGTGGAAGAAATTGGAAATATAACAGGAAAGCCCAGTGCCTGAGCAATGAAACTGGCCAGGTGCTTTACCTGAGTAGTGTCAGTTTGGGGTTAGTTTATGTGTATAATTTTTTTCTCTCTATTCACTTCACCTCATTACTTCCTCAAGTTATTAATAGCATAGGGACAAACAGATCTGGGTCTTTTTCAATCAGTACTCATCTGAATGCGATTCTTACCCACGTTTCTATGGGGTGGTGTCTGTTACACTACAGTTGGTGATAAATTTCCCTGGAACATATGGACTTCACAAAATACTTTATAAAATACTTCAAATTTACAGAAAAAAACCCTGAATACTGTGATTTCCCCACCCCAACTTAACAGATAGTACATTTTACATGTTTGCTGCAGATTTTTGTTTTCAAGACATAAAAATGTTTTTTTAAAGACATAATTTTTTGTTTTAAAGACAGAAACTAAAAAAATCTAGTTAAGTCCCCTTTGCACATCTTTCTGACCTTCCTAGATTTAAGGTAATCAGTATCCTGAGGTAGGAGTATATTCTTTTTATGCAGGTTTCTACTTTTACTATATGTTTGTGTATGCTTAAGTACCACCTATACTATTGTTTTGTTTAAAACTTTACACAAATGAAGTCATACTGTATGTGTCCTTCCATAACCTGTTTTTTCACTTCACCATTTTGAAATTTGTCAGTTTTGTTTTATGGATCTAGCTCATTTCCTTAATTGCTTTGTAATGCTCTGTGTTTAGATGAGTGATTTCATTTTTATCTCCCTGTTCGTGAACTTTTAAATGCCAGAGTTTTCCTATATTTTAATATCACAGTGTTGCAGTGAGTGTACTTTGTACATATCTTGTATTGTCCATATGTCAGTTTTTCTCCAGGTCAGGTGATATACTGTAGGGAGCAATTTAGAAATTGGTTGGCTGTGTTTGTGTGCCATAGTGCCTGGGGTCCTGTTGATATTAATTGCTATTCTGTGTGACTTGGAGGTTCCACTGGATATGTAGAAGAAAACCTGTTTGTAATTATTGGAGATTAAGAACTTAATTCTGTTTTATGTGTAAACACAAATTTTTTTAAAAAGTTTTTAAAATATAGTGAATTTTTCAGGAATACAA